AGCTCACAAGGCCCATGGCAAACGCAAGATGTTGAAAATTGGCCATTTGGGTCATGACATGACCTGAAAAACAAGGTCATATCTCCGAAACCAAAAATCACAGAAACTTGAAATTTTCAGTGGACATCAAGAAAGGATAGACGAGCAGCTATACGAAAAATCAGCCTTCTAGCTCTAAAAATGTTGAGTGCAGAGCAGAAAGACTGCCTGGGGGGGGGGGTGGCAACCACCACCCCCATGTGCGGGCGAGGGTTAGGGCACCCTGCACAGGTCAGGTGGGTTCTCTTATCATTTTGCACGCGCGCACGTGCAGGGTGCCGCTAATATATCTCAGGAATGGCTGGGGCAATGACGCTCAAAGTCACATCACATCTTGATCACACACATACTAATGCATCGGCTAGAACTACATAGATAGAAGGCGATCGGCACAAGTCGATTAGAGATGGGGCATCGAGCTTTCGCACGCCCAGGTTACACAATCTTTCTCGTTTGCTCGTAGCCCCAAAAGGCGTCTTGTTGGTTTTAAACTGCGTAGATTTACACGTTTGAAGTTTTGCCAAAGCTTGTCAGTAAGTTTGGTCACTAAATTTTATAACATTTTAAATTGAAAACGTGTGATGCGTCCTTTATATTTACTCTACTAAAAGAAATATTGTGTGAACAGAACTTTATTTCGTAATGGAGGTGATCAGAGATGACGAAGGACACTGAAACATCTAATTGGCTGGAATTCCAAAGTCAGTATCCGTTAGATATAGCCATAGCCACACAATGAACAATTTTGCGTGTAAATGTCACTCGACTTTTCCTTTGACGTGCTATGCCTGCTTTTACTCAGATGGTGGCCCAATTATATTTTCCCTTAGTTAACCCTAAAAACAACCCTTGTTATTGTATCAATGTCCATCACCTTTGCACATGCCAAACACGTTTTGATGGAGACTGACGACCGGCGCAGAGCGGTGTAATTTGTAAGCCACTCGGAGCCTGCTCCGCCGGCGGTCGCCGCGACCTGTCGCGCACGGCGCGGATCGGATGCGTCCGGCGGGCCCGCCGGGACCGTGCGCCGGCGGCCTGTGAGCCATCCGTTACGGCGCCAAGCCCCGCAGGACAGCGGCGGCCGGCATCCATTAGGCGCGCCGGCCAGATGCGATTTATATGCATTGGCGGCCTCTTGTGAAGCTCATTGATATGCGCCGGTCAAAATCAATGCATGTAATTATTGGCGCCGCCGGACGTGGCCACTATTGAAATTGTCCATGTCAATCACTGCAGGCTGGGCGGCGGCGTGGAAGCGGCTCGGCTCGCTCGGGCCGCTCCTCGGTGGGGCGCGCCGAACAGGACTGACCTGTGCCGCTGTGAACAACAACAGCCCGAATGTATTGATGACCACTTGGGGCGCGTGTGAGTTTATTAGATCTCGCCAAACAGGCGAGACATTTACTGTTCGCACGTCGCCACTTTAATGGCGCACTGCCTGTCACGGCCGGCTGGATAGTTTTGCCGAGCGGCGCCGGTATTTTACGAGCTCGTAATGACAGTGCCGCGATCAGGGCGAGCCCGAGACGGCCGAACCGGCCATTACCGATGACGCATGTGTGATTTACCAATTCCAGGAAAGCTGCTAACAAAACACTGACTGATCAGGGTGGAACCAATGGGCTGCTAACGAACGCTGCTAACAAAACACTGACTGATCAGGGTGGAACGAATGGGTGGAACGTATACTCATCACATTTTGACGAACTCCGATAGATATGTCGTTTCATACGTCATACTATGTAAGCATTTAACACTCGCACTTATAGGGGGTCGAACGGATCCCACTTCGATTTTTTGCACACACAAAAAAATCGCTCAAAAAAGGTCTGATTGCGCGCACGCTCAAACTTATCTATTTTACACCTACCATGAAAATTTGATGACCCTGACCCTAGTGACCTTTGACCTGTGACCTGCTTCTCGAGATCATGCTTGGCCAGAATTGTGATTCGGCGTACGTCAGCTCACTTGGCACCCTTTCAGTACGAGTATTTGTGTGGTTGTAAGCGTTTAATCACATGACCTCACCGTTATAAGTCAATGGGGAAAAATGAAAACTGTTATTTTGGCGTCGGAAACGATCTCAAACTACATCAGCCACACGGAATCGTGATTTCATGCACTTCTTGCATGTTTCGATGCTTCGCTTTTGCAAATGCTGACCTTGCGTGAGGTCATTTATGACCTTAATAGGGTCATAAGAGTTTTTGTCAATAACTCCTGATTAAATTGAGCTAGCGAGTATGGAAAGTCACCAATGGACTCAGGAAGACCTGCCAAACCGAAAAATATGCGACATGACCTTCTTTGACAAAGTCCGTGACCTGTGGGCCCTGCCCAAATCGTAAGCCGAGGTCAACATCTCAAGTTGACCTTATCCAAACAAAAAGCATACCATTCGGCGCGGCTGATCAAGGCGAAAACGATGCTGTCAAAATCACGGCTCTGCGGCCATTTTTGGCGAAGTCATTTGCCAAAAACCGCGCCCGTACCTTAAGCAACTTGACCTGACCTCAGAGGTCACCGGTTGATCTGAGACCTTAAAATTGGGTACCATCGCTGCGTCTCATAACGGCGCACATGCTTGTTTTTTTTTTCCGCAATGCTCTAGCTCAATCAGGGGCGAAACGGCGAGGGAGGTCGTACTCGTCCCCTCCCCCTCGGCCGGCGCGTATGTAGCCAAAACCGTCGAGAGTTAAACTTGTAAAATGATGTTTGTCCCATGCCTCATAGTGATTTCTTAGACTACTTGAGGGTCAGGTCAAGGTCGTTGACCTTAGATGACCTTGGCTCACTTTTTCGAGTTTTACATGTTTCTATGGTACTTTTTTTTTGCTAATTTCGAATTAAGTGTCCATTTGAACATTTACGAAGTAGTTTTGCTGCCTATGTAACACATTTCGAAGCTGTCAGTAGTGGTTTAGATCTTCTCTGAATAGATGGCAGGAAGCCTTCTGGCTGGCCTGACCTGACCCGCCCTTACCCAAACGCATGAATATATCATCTTTGATCAAAACTCATAACATGAAATTCGTTGTCAGCGCCGGGAAAAGAATCATAACAACCTTACTTTACGCGTACAGTCGAACATTTCCTTGCTATTCAATTCGTTGCGCATCGTATGATGAACTATCATTTATAAAAAGGAAGTAGTCACTTAGACTTCATAGTCACTTCTTTTGGGAAGATTGAACATTTCACTTTATCAATCCGCCCGGGGTTGTTTTGAAGTGAACACATAATACAGCATGATGAAAGCAAACTAATTTGTGGTGGCTTTTGTTTCGTCTGTATAGGTTAATGAGGATGGAGTGGAGGAGCAGTGTGGCTTTTGATGATTTTACATTTGAAATGAAGGAAATTTCTTGTTTTATCCTTTATGACTATCAGATATTGTCTTTCTTTCATTTATAGAGTTCTAAAGCGCGCGGTGCAAAGCAAATTGTGCCAATGTAATCAAAACTGGTTGGCGAAAGTAATGCATGTTGCAAAAGTAATGCAAGTATTTTTGTTTGTCATTATTAAACGCTCAAGTGGGTTCGAAATTCGAAACGGCACAAAAGAGTACCCTAGAAAATCATTAAACTTGAACGATCTCCCGAGACCACCAAAGGTCAAAGACTTTGACCTGACCTTCACATTACCTTGAAACCTATCATGAGGCATGGATAAAACATCATTTTACATTCTGAGGCCTGTTTCACTAACAAATAAAGTGTGTAATTACAAAGAAAAAACTTGAGTTTAAAAGAAATAATTACCAACATTTGAAATTTGGATTTAACGAAACCTTCGGGCATGAATTTTGAGTTTAAAATTTGCAAACTTTTTTACAAGAAAAAGTTTGCTAGAAAACATGGGAATCGCAAACTTTCTGTTTCACGAAGACCAGAAACTTGAAAGAAAACATCGTAATTACAAACCTGAAATTCCAGTGGTCCTGACGTTCGGAATTTTGATACTTTTTGTGCAATGATGCAAAGCAATCAATTATTTAAAACAAATATGATATGCTGAGTCATTATATGCTCTTTTTCACTTAGAACATTCCCTACGAACTAGCTACGAGCAATAAATAAATATCGTCATGTTTTGTCATTCGCGCGCCATAATTGCATTCAACAGTCTTCTGCTGTCACATGTTTTACGTGTTATTTTCTTTCGATAATAAGATATTGTGAACTATCATTTATACCACTCAGAAACAGCATCATTATTTTTAATTTATTCCTGCAATTTCTGACATGAAAACTAGACATAGTTTGATAAAAAGAAGCAATATCTGTAACATGTTAAAGTTCTTGATTAAAAACAATTTTATTGTTTACAAGTTTATTTACCAACTCTTTTTATCGGAGGTGCCGCTGGTGATGAAGTTTAGTGAAACCCGATTTTACATAGTTTGCAAAAATACTTATGAATTGTAAAGTTCAAACACTTGTAATCGCAAGTTTTTAGTGAAACAGGCCTCTGGAATGTTTGGACAAGCTTAGGAAGCCCATGGAAACGCACGGATACTACATATGCGCTGGATACGCCGATTTGCCATTGCGGCCTGACATAGTTTCGGAAAAGAGGTCACAGGGCACAGGCCATTAGTGTAAGGGTCATGAAATTTTATGGAACTATGTGAAATTGAGTAAATCGAGAGGGCTATGGAAGTTCAATCGGCTGTTTTTTTACGAGAGCTGTTGGTGATAAACCAGGGAGGGTCATTGACCTTCACTGGCTCAGCAGCCGGCACTTTTGATTGTAGCTGTACACCAATCTCTATAACATGGGTTTGGGAGTTAATGTGACCATGAGTAGTATCATCCCGCCTGACTTCTGCGGTTTTCTGCGAGGCCCTGCTCTACGCGCGTGTGAAAGAAATGCTTCCCTTCCTAATGTTAACATTTCCGAGCCAGTTTGCAGTACCTACTTACACCCTACACATATGCATACTGCACGCATGCTAAAATATCGCCGATGTATTTTCAACAAACATTTATCTTCGGACACATAAGGGTATATACTGATAATGTAACAACTCAATGTTTGACGAACCATTCCTCCTGTCTGTGAGCAGAGGTGGCGGCCAACAGTCAACAATGTGGAGGGCCGCCGGTGCGCCCGGCCGGAGCCGCGGGGCCTCAACAGGGCGCCCCAAACACTCCACAGGCGCGGCAATTTCACACCGGATCAGCACACGAGGGATCTGTTTGGCTCAAACTCAACTAAACGTGGTGCTGCCTTATGTGAAACACTTGTTTTTGTCGGTACGACTGATACGTGCTGTGGAACGCTACCGCTAGCGCTCCGTACGGGATTGTTTCAGTGATTTTATCAGAATGTATTCCTTTGAACTGTATGTGCGAATTCACGATATCTCCCAGCTGCCGCACTGAACGATCCATCTTTGTGAAGCCACCTATCTAATATGCATGAGACAATGCAGTACAAGAACTACCGACAACAAGTTCATTCACAGAACGGTTGTTTGCCGACCACGCATCGCTCCCAGTATCCGCAGCTCACACTCACCACAGCTTCCACTTTCACTCGCCCACAGCTCACAGTTTAGCGCACTGACAACAAACGACATCAGTCACTCGCAGCTGACAGTGTCACATCCCGGCCAGTCACGCAACACCACCAGCCGGCGTGAGCGGGGTTCCGGTTTCGTACTCTATTGGTTGACGGTCGGGAGCGCTGGACGCCCTGGTCCACTCCGAGGTACTCCGCTGCACGCGCTGAACCTCATGGGCGACCTCCGAAACACCTCGGACCCTCCGGGACCGGGCGGAGTGTCGCACCCCCTCCGGGAGCGGGCGGAGAGTTTCGCACCCCCTCCGGGACCGGGCGGAGAGTGTCGCACTCAACCAAGACTATTCGAGCGGCTCACACCGTTTGAAACACCTCACTTTTTTCCAGAGACTGTTCGAAGCGCACCATACTCCGTCGTGTATCGTTCGAAGCACATCTCTTTCCCTCTGGGCGGTATGGGTGACGCCTCCGGCCTAGGCGGTCCTTTGAAGTTCGACACCCACCGGTCACCACTCAGTGCCTGTCGGATCCCTGGATCCCCGCGGTTTGTAGCTCGGGCACAGACGCACCCGGCACGGCCCGGCACCGGCACACTCACAGTCTCAGCGCCGCCAGCAGCGCCGAAAGACTAGCGGCCGCGGCGCCCTGTCACCGGGCCCCGCCGCGCCGCCACGGTCCGCGCGCGCCGCTGGCGCCACCTGTCGGTGACCGAGGGCGGCGGCGACCCCTCACGTGACGTCCACGCCGCGCGCCGGCCGCGGTTGTGTGACCAGGGCGTCGGTGATGGCGCCCAGTAAGCTGAGGCCGACGCAGAGCAGCCACAGGTGACCCGGGTGGCCGGCCGGGTGGCCGGCGCTCACCCCGTCCTGCATTGCCGCGTGGTGCTCGCCTGGAAACGACCCGGTGGCGTCAGCTGTAAGGTAGGGCCAATAGGATTTTTCGAGCTTTATGCATGCTGAGTGGGCAGTATGCATACCGCCCAACAGTCTGGGCAGTGTGCATATTGCTCGGCCACGCTCCTCTTCACGGTCAATATGTTACCTCGGGCATACATTAACCCGCCCCGTGCTGGAGGGGGGGGGGGGGGAAGAGGGTCGTTCCCCCCTCAGGTTTTTCACAACTACCTTAACCCGCGCCCCACTGGGGGGGGGGGGCTATTTATAGCCCCCCTCCCGTTTTTCTGCAATAACTTCCAAACCGCTTGACGTATCGACGCCAAACTTTCAGTACCTTCGCCTGCATCAATTTGACACATTGTGTCAAAATTTGAACTTCGTAGCTACCATAGGTCGGCCGGAAATGACGTCAGAGTGACGTCATGTTCGGCCGATTTCGACGCAAAACATTGAACCACGGCAATCGTTCCCAAGGGCTCAGTTTTTAAGCTAGATCCAATTTCTTTGCATGAGAGGACTCAGAATAGACTGCGCTATCAAACTGCTATCTCGGATTTTCAACATTTTGAAAATTTTGAAAATTTCATATAATGAAATTCAAAATTTACATTTTTACATTTTTTTCAAAAAGTTGTTGACTTTTCGAAAAAATCGGAATATATGTGATAGAACGCGTTATTATGACTAACTCTAGCAAGTTTTAGCTAAATATCTTCAAAAATAGCCAAGTTATACGCATTATTGCAAAAAATTCACAATTATTAATTTTTCAAATCAATTTTCCAGCACGTATTTGACATCGTACGCCAATATAAATAGCACCATCGTGTTCCTGAGCTCAAACTGCATCCAATAGACACCTTTTTTGTTGAAAAATTTTAACTTCAAAATTTGACCTTTTTTGACCTGAAAGTGACCTGACCCTAAGCTAAATTCGACTCAAAATGACCTCGAATGACACAGACGACATCAAATCCGAAATCTTTGGCCTAAATGGACCATAAAACATGTGTCACGTGACCGAGGCATGATATAATATTTTCGTGACCTGTGATGACCTGACCTTGACCTGAAAATCAAAGTACAAGTTTGGTACCCTCAGGGTATCTAGAACATCTGTTCACGAGTGTGTGAACCAAAAATGAGCCTGATCGGACTTGTAAGACGGCGGCCAGAGCCCAAAACGTGAACAAGCCAAAATGCTAATAATTTTTACTTTGACCTGACCTGTGACGTCATCGGTGACCTCGAGGTCAATGAAATTAGGTTTCGCTCGACAGTTTTTCCGGGGCTATCAGACGCCGTTTGAATTTTGACGATCGGCCCAGTAGTTTCGGAGTTAGGAGGGGGGGCTATGAATAGCCCCCCCCCCCCCCCCAGTAGGGCGTGTTATACGCAGACGCCAGTGGGGCGCGGGTTAAAAACAGCTGGGCGCAGCGCCACCGCTTTTGGTACAGCTGTTTATGCCTCTTTTCCGCACATTTTGCGAAAATTTCAGACCCAGCTCTTTCAAGGTAAAGTCACCAAGTCACGTTAAGTGACCTTACCCCAGAAAAGTTTCAATGCTCGCTGTAGCTACACCGACGGTACGATCGCTTTGAAATTTTTAGCGATTGATATGAGTAACAGTATGTATAAAATATTTGTTTCATAATTTTGATATCCGTGACCAAAGGTCAGATCAATTTTGTGACCCTCCATTATAAGTCAATTGGAGAAAATTGAAATGCGCCTATTTTGGACGGATGTCGTTCTTAATACTCCAAACATCGGCGCCCCTCGCCCGGCAGCCCCCCCCCTCGCCCGGCGAGGGGGGTTGATGCAACCTCCCTAAGTTTTTTTTTTCGCAAATAACGTACAAACGATCTGAACGAAAGACGAAAGGATCTGAAGGAAAAAAGAAAAAATATGACATACCCTCTGGGGCAACCTTTTCGCACCTATCCTGAAAATTTGAAGTCCCAGTCTTTTCAGGTCAGGTCACCAGGTCACAAAAACCGGTACAAGGTGAGGGGAAAGTTGGACTAGTTAAGCGGCAACTGGATTCCAGAGTTCACAAATTGATGGTAACAAAGTATATCATTCAATGCGCACGGACGTCCTCAGTTCACTGGTGCTTTTATTTTTGCTCTATCTTTACTAGGTAAAAAGTTATAAGCGAAAGCTTTTGACATGTTTTAGCAAAATTTTTGCACTCATGACCCCCAAAACCCCCCTAAATATTGACTTAGTCACCAAATTTTCACAGGGGCGAGATCTCCTATGGACCCACCTACCCTGTAAATTTAGCGTTTCTAAGTGCCATAGGAGCCAATCGCCGGGGGGGGGGGGTCGTAACCAGCCCCCCCCGCCGTCCGTGTTATGGAAAAGGCCCTCGCCTGGCGAGGGTTAATTGGTAAACATGACACACTGAATCAGAACAATGCACCCTCACCTCCCTGTGTGCCCCTGAGGACATCTCAGGTCATGAAAGGTCCCAGCAGTTTTTTTTTACTGTAACTTTTGATGGGGACGTGCTAAAGCGGTGAAAATATCTCAGCTGTGTTCAACTCGACGATACACATCGACTGATATGCAGCATGACCTTTTCTGGTCAGTTCATGACCTTGGCCTAAGGCCAAATTTTCAAAATGACCTTTCAATGTCAAATTATAAATCATTCGAAATAAATCATTATAAACCCCCAGCACACCACGGAAAACTCAGACCTGGTACCGTGCACGCACGGAGCGGGTACCGTGGATCGACAAGACCCTGGGACAAGACAAGATCCAGGTTCCGTGGACCGGACAGGACCGGTTACATGGGTTCCGTGGACCGCGGCGGGGCCGGTTACATAGGTTCCGTGGACCGCGGCGGGGCCGGTTACAGGGGTTCCGTGGACCGGACAGGGCCGGTTACAGGGGTTCCGTGGACCGCGGCGGGTGGACCGACAGGACCGGGCGGGGTCAGCTATATGCGGACCGTGCTTCACAGCGTTCCTGCAGGAGGTCGCTCGGCTCAGAAATCGTTTAATGTCCCAAATGCATGCCGCAGCCGTCATCATCGGCTGAAACCAGGCGCTGGCTCAATGAGCCGGCCACAAGTTGCACTGAATGTTGATCGATGCAAATCACTCTCTTTCATGGAGCGGAACAAAATGCCGATAATTTCGCCCTGTCAAATGATCAGCCGTCGGACACCCATCAAACTTCGAGCAATCATACCGATGTCGTTGATATGTCTAGGTTCAGCACCGCAATGTGCTGCTGGAAGGCATCTTGCGGGCTAACTTCCATGAGGAAAGTCTCTGAAACACTAATTTCTCAAGATTTGTAACTATTTTAGCTAAGAAAAAATGTATAATTGAGGGTGTATCATATGTGCCTATAAGTACACGTCTCACACGATCCTAGCAAATGTCTCTTTACAATAAAATAGGTATAGAACAAAACATAATCTAACCTGACCTAACCTTGCCAGCAACCTACAGCCTTCAACGTACAGCCTACACCCTACGGCCTACAGCCTACAACCTACAAAATATGCCGTGGTACATGAGCGGCACATTACATATGAACTGTGGCACATAGGTATGGAAGTCTCCATATATTTCATGACGTCATAAATTGAACGATTTTCATTACATCGTAGACGGCTTGCTATGCGGTTTTGGGGATAGCTATGGACTGATCGTCCAGATGGTGTGGGCGTGCTTCAGAATGCTTACCGACTATTGGCAAAAATAATATTATTCACGAGTCACAACGTTGATCCCTCGTCCGGCGAGGGGGTTGATGCAACCCCCCCCCCCCTAAGGTCTTTCGCAGATAACGTAAAAACGGCGGCGCGTAGCGCCGTCAAATTTGGCATACCCTCTGAGGAAGCCTTTTGGCGCCTTTGCTGAAATTTTCAGGTCTCAGACTTTTCAGGTCAGGTCACCAGCTCACAAAAATCGGTACAAGGTCAGGGGCAAAATTGGACAAGTTTATCGGCAACGGAATGCCAAAGTTTTTTCGGCGATAGCGTGAGTGCAATGGCACGTAGCGCTTCCAAAGTTCAGACACGAGTTAGAGCATTTAACATGTGTCACATGACCCAGGAGTTTTGAGATCCAGTAACTTCAGGTCAGGTCACAAGGTTACAAAAACCAGTACATTGTCAAAATGGCACTAAAAATGCACTCTTTTGTTCATTGAAATTAGAGTTCTTCATCGATTTGGGTTAAATCGTCCCTGGTGGAGCTAGCGCGTCGCGAAAAAAAAAAACGAGCGTGTTCGCCGATACGAGACGAAGAGATTGATACCCGATTTTAAGGTCCTAGGTCAATCGGTGGCCTCTGACGTCAGGTCAAGTGCCCAAAGGTGCGGTTTCGTTTTTGGTGAATAACTTAGCAAAAAAAAAAAAAAAACGGGCGCAGAGCCGCGATTTTGGCAGCATCGTATTCGCCTTGCTCAGGCGCGTCGAATGATATCCTTTCTGATTGGGTGAGGTCAACTTAGGGTGTTGAGTGTTGACCTCGGTTCATGGTCAGGTCAGCGCCCCCAGGTCACGAAATTGGCCGAAGGAGGTAATGCCGCTTATCATTCGATTCGGCAGGTCTTTCTGAGTCCATTGGTGGCTTTTTCGATTCGTTAGTTCAATTTGATCGGGAGTTATTGACGAAAAACTGATATGACTGAATGACGTCATAAATGACGTCACACAAGGTCAACATTGCAAAACTGACGCATCAAACCTTGCAAGGAGTCCATGAAATCACGATTCTGTGCCTTGAGATAGTTAGAGATTGTTCCCGGCGCCAGAATAGCAGTTTTCATTTTTCCCCATTGACTATACCTAATGGTGAGGTCACGAAAATGACCTGACCTCATATGACCTTTAGGAAAAATCCGAGATATACAAGTTGTGAGACTCGTAATGGATACTAGATCCTGCAAGTTCCATTTCCCTGTGAAAGCTCCTCTGGCAGTGGGTGCGTTGCGAAGTTGCGATATCTGAAGATCGTGCAGAGGTTCACCTATGACGTCATAGGTCAGTGACCTGACCTGACCCGGAAATGCGGTTGGTGTCAAAAGATCAGGCTTGAATCAAAGGTCAGGTATGCGAAGTTCCAGCTCTCTATCGCCAGCGTGTTCGGAGCTATCGCGAAAAAAAAACTATGGGGGGCGGCGCCCGCCTCCCTCGGCCGGCGAGGGTTTAAATCGGGTACTAATCATTGCGTCTTGTATCGGCGCACACGCTCGGCGAAACGGTAAGGGGGTCGTACCCCCCCCCCCCCCTCGGCAGGCGCGTACGTAGAAAACCAATAGGTTCGGCGAGGGAAGAGATGATGAAAATAAATTATGTCCAAAGCAGCACGGTGCAGTAGGTTTCAATTGCGGTCTAGACGCTACCGAAGTAGCATGGCCATGGAAGGAAATGCTAAATGTATGCTTTTGGGATACACTTATGTAACACTTTAAATAAACACTTTTATAAACACCATTATAAACACTATAACAAACACTTCCATAGATCCTGGTTTGTCGCTTGAAAAAGGGTGTTTGGCTAATGTGAAGGGAAAGGCGAGTGTCTGACATACTGTTTGTGCCACATCCAGTGATGTAATTGATGTGTTCTTGGTATTATTTCTTTCTATCGTATATATATTCTTTGGGCACTAATTAAGATGATAGAAACCCTGCCGGTGTTCTAACATTTCAACATTTCAACTCGACCAAAGTCGTGACGCGAGTGCGAATGCGGCTGTGCAGTGATGAAAAATAGTGTCACGAACTGCTGTTTTTGCCAGAGTTGTTCGAGCAAAAAGCAATCCAAAGAAATGCAGACGCAGAATGCGACAGCATTCTGACACATCACCGCCCTTTCGGCTCTGTTGTGGTAGTTTCATTTACTTTGTGCTGCCGGAGAACAGAAAGGAAAATACGTTACAGGCTTTCAGAAATTAAATAAAAAATAATCCCTCGAAAAACTCATCTGCCAGGTTTTAGTCGATTTTGTGGGCTAAATCGGTCGTGTTGGTAGATAGTGGCCGCGGAAACTTTGTTGTTTCTCCGTTCAATTTTTGTCGTTAAGTCAAAGTTCCGTATTTTAACGTTTTCTTATTTGTTTCCAGACTCATATGCTGCCGCTTATGTTATATTTATTATGCAAACTATGCACACACTAAACTTTTTCAACAGCCTTTCGAATCACATGCAAAGCAAGTCTGTATGAGGTCTAACTCGGTCAATGAGTCGTTTTTAAATGTGCAGTTTTTTCGTGAACAACCCTGTATAACACGTATCGCTCTCATCAGGTTAGGGAGTTTTTGTATTAGCAGACTTTAGCTGATAATTTCCTCAACGAAACGGCGGACTTGCCGACACACCGCCTTTGATGGGTGTTTGAGCTCTGAGACTGCCTCTTGTCGGTACGGGGCCCAGGAGACCAATAACGAGCGTCGTTGAGTCGCCCTCGGGGCTGTTTTCAACTGGATGCCATCACGGCCCAGCCAGAAATGGGCGGCAGCAGGCTGCAGGGTCTGAGAATTATTCGTAGCAAAGTGGAGAGGCAGGATACTGCAAACACACATACAACGACGCAAACCATGGCGCATCTCAGAACAAAAAGCGTGAGGTAAAAATATGCAAACATATTCGACTAGCTCTGCAGTATGTACTTCAAAAGAAATCTACACCGTTTTCACTTCGGTCAATAATTAAGTGGTATACTGTGAGCAAATTTCAAGGGAATATAAAGATTGGCGGGTTTTGAAGGGCTGATGCCAGAAGCCACAGCCAAATGCTGACAGTGACTGCAGAGTGATACCATGGATGATATAACACTATTATTATCTCATCCATGGTGATACCGTTCCATCTTTTATTTGTTTGTTTGTTTGTTTGTTGGTGGTTAGGGGCGCGCCGACTGCGAGGTCATTTTGCGCCCATAACCATTCCATATTTCAACGACTCCCTTTAGCTACTGGTGGAAATGCGCCGACACCTACACCATTTGGTAGTTCTGGCACATGGTGCTACCCCAAGTGCAGCAGCCGCTATCATCGGCCTCAAACGGGAACAGGGGGCGGGGACATCAGCTCGCGCACCACCCTTCACGACCGGTCATGTCTCCCCACGTCAACCCCGTGGACTTCCCTGTGAGGCCACGTGAGTGACATGGGGGGGTCCAGCAGCCCAAAGAACTTCAACACTCCCGACGAGAGCAGTGGGGGGGGGGCCTCCACTGCTTGCTTTGGCTTATGGTCGCATCTTTGCACGCACGTGCTCGAAAACAGGGGAAAATCCTGGTCCGGGCTGAATCGTGCATTGCCCGAAAAACTCGTCATCTGTAAAATGCGCTGTAAGTTCTTGCGAACACAAATGATTTGATCTCAAAATACATGAATATTTTTTTTTTTAATCTACCCCATTTGCTCACACCATGATCGTCATGCTGAGCTCAATTGTTTGCTCCTAATTCGGAAAGTAAATGAGTCAGTTTTTGTGAACATCCCCGTACCTATTTACATTTTAAGGACACAAATCCACCCGGCATGACACTGTCCCTTCATTTACCATCCTCAGGACAGGCAAACCTATTTGCTCCACACCGCAAACCCTTGTTCTGGGCTAGACAGTCACCTTTATCTGATAGGTACGGGTAGCTCCACAATATGTAGGAGCGGGCCTATGGCCGGGTGCGGTGACCGCTGGCGGGGCTGGATCGCCTGTCTACGTGATGGGCTCAGCCCCGGCGGAGTACCGGGATGCCCGCCCAGACAAATGTCTCCCCTTATTCCTATCATCGTTCCCACTCTGGAAAGGTCTCGTCAGACCAAAAGGGCCTAATCCTACAAAACAAACGAAATCCGACATGAGTTCAGTGACAATGAAAGGGCAATGAAGGTCATATAGTGAAAGAGTCATAGCGGTGAGCTGTGAGCTATGAGTAGCAAAGCTGTGAGTAGCTGTGCAGACTAACTGTAGGTACCTGGGTATGTTTACATGCCTACAATGGAATGTAGTTGAAAGTTACATACCTAAGACAGTCGTCAAAACGATGCTTTGGCTTACGGTAGAGCACATTTGGACTTAATGGGGCGCGTGCATAATGCTGGGATAGTTGATAGCGCCGCGCAATGCCCTGCACGCCGCGCCGGTGCCTTGTCTCACCGTTGAGCACGTGCAGCAGGACGGTGGCGTGCGGCAGGTTGCTGGGCTGGCACGTGTAGTTGCCGGAGTCGGCGCGCCGCACGCGGCTGATCACCAGCGTGCTGACAGTGGTGTCGGCGCCGGTGCGCTCGACGGCGGTCCGGTGGCGGCCGCCGGCCGGCGACATCACCAGACGCCCGTCGTGGTGCCAGAACACGAACGCCGGCTGCTCGATGCTGCGCGAGATCACGCACTGGATGGTTACCGTGCTGCCGGCGTTCACGTGCAGATCGCGCTCGCCGCCGACGATCGCCACGCGTGGCACTGAAACACCCGACGCACCGGTCACAGGGCGCACTGCAGGCCAGGTTAGCGGTCACATTAGTGGAGGGGTCAGGGGTCACAGCGGTGGGGTCATAGGTCACAGCGGTCGGGTCACAGATCACAGCGGGCGGACAGAGAAGCTGACACCAGCGAATCCCCCGGAACGTTTAGCCCCTGTCGTGATACCTGGAGGCCACTGTGTACCTGGGGCGCGGAGCGACTCGGTATACGGGCGGACGGCGCACGATGGAAGCCACTCCCTCCAACGGTGGCTGCTCAACGTGTCAGCACACTGACTACGTGATCGAGACGAGGTGGTAGAGCCCAGGAGCTATTATCAGACGGAAGGAGCTGGACCAGCCGACTGACGAGGGTCCGTGGAGACGAGGCCGCCCGCTAATCCGATCCATTATCCGGCCGCCGCTGCTGAATATGTACAGTTCAGCCCACTTTGCCAGTTCGGCGAACGGAGGCTGTGTCGAGAACCAGTGCGGCTGAGAGCCAACTTTGGCGCCGGACGCGCTTCCTGAAGGGCCAATTAGTGGACTAGTAGATGTCATCTGTGACACTGTTCCTGCAAATCATGCCGCTTCACCCTTACGGGGAACATACGCTTATAGAGACGCGCGAGTGGAAACTTCCAAGTCCGCACACGGATGGAGGCATAATTAAATTAGTAACGGTAGGCTAAGTTCCAAAGTGATGATGCACCGTTATTCCCATGTGCCCGGGAGTTATTCGGGTTGAAAGTGAGTGCTAACTGCGGTATGGCTGTTCAGACAACGCACCAATCATAGTTACACCCCATTTCGCTAAATAACATATATTTAGGCTGTGAAATGTAAGCCATGATACGGAATTCTCTGTTTCTTTTTTTTAAGAAATTCAGCTATTTATGATAAGGTATGTCGCAGCCGGTGTCTGAATTTCTTTCTCCAAACACCGTGAGTTGTTCAGTGGTATCTTTTTACGTTTCGGCAGTCCGTCTTCTCAGTCCACTTTACCTTTCGATGGCCGCTGACATTGAATGATTGACGGGCGTGTCGGCTCCGTGGAGGCCTCTCTTCTGTAAAGTGGCCGGAAGCAGTGGCTGCCCGCCATATCCCCCCACCCCCACCCTCTCCCTCCAACGTGACAGACGCCTATACCTCGCCGGAGGGGCCCGACAACAGCACCTTGCGGAGCCCCGGGGAGGAACAGATACCTCGCCGGAGGGCCCGACAACAGCACCTTACGGAGCCCCGGGGAGGCGCCGCTACCTACCTCCTCGGAAGGCGCGACAACAGCAGCTTACGGAGCCCCGGGGAGGCGCCGCTACCTCCCCGGAGGGCCCCAACAGCAGCTTACGGAGCCCCGGAAAGGCACAGATACCTCGCCGGAGGGCCCGACAACAGCACCTTACGGAGCCCCGGGGAGGCGCCGCTACCTCATCGGAGGGCCCCAACAGCAGCTTACGGAGCCAGGGGAGGCGCCGCTACCTACCTCCCCGGAGGGCGCGACAACAGCAGCTTACTGAGCCCCGGGGAGGCGCCGCTACCTCATCGGAGGGCCCCAACAGCAGCTTACGGAGCCCCGGGGAGGCACAGATACCTCCTCAGAGGGGCCCGACAACAGCACCTTACGGAGCCTCGGGAAGGCATAGATATTAGATACCTCCCCGGAGGGCCCCAACAGCAGCTTACGGAGCCCCGGGGAGGCACAGACACCTACCTCCCCGGAGGGCGCGACAACAGCAGCTTACTGAGCCCCGGGGAGGCACAGATACCTCCCCGGAGGGCCCCAACAGCACCTTACGGAGCCCCGGGGAGGCACAGATACCTCCCCGGAGGGCCCCAACAGCAGCTTACGGAGCCCCGGGGAGGCACAGATACCTCCTGATCGGAGGACCCGACAACAGCTTACGGAGCCCCGGGGAGGCACAGCTATCTCCTCGGAGGGTCCGACAACAGCAGCTTACGGAGCCCAGGGGAGGCACAGATACCTCCCCGGAGGGCCCGACAACAGCAGCCAGCCTGCAGCCGGCTATGGGCTCTATCGCAGCCGACACAACGGCTGCTATTGCACCAGCGCAAATGGCACGCTAAAAGTAAATCTACCGAGCTCAAGTTTAGTGAGGTCAGCTATTTAGATAAGGGTTCAATGTAAGCTTGGCACTTGGTGCAGAAAATGTTCCAGTCGATCGTAAGTGATTATTTCCGAAGCGTTTAAGCGGCAATTACTTCCAACAACAAAGGTCATTTCACACAAAGCAATGACCGCTCTATTGCAGTTTGCATGTAGTTACATAAGCGCAGTGTTGCGAAACCTGGAAAAAACAACGCATTAGCGTCCCTAGAGCTGGCAGCGCTATTTTGACCCAGACCTTTGTTGACCGTGTTTGGCGAGCCAAAGTGAAGGACCGTGGATGGACGGTGGACGGTGGACGGTGGACGGTGGACGGTGGACGGTGGACGGTGGTCGGTGGACGGTGGACGGTGGACGGTGGACGGTGGACGGTGGGCGGTGGTCGGTGGACGGTGGACGGTGGACGGTGGACGGTGGACGGTGGACGGTGGACGGTGGACGATGGACAGCGGACGGCGGGCGCGGGGCACCGTGTGTCCACCGCTAAGTCGGCGTACCGCCGCTCGACCGCCCGTTAATTGGCGTTGTGTGTGTGTGTGTGTATGTCGGCCGGCAGGGGCGGCGCGTACTTCCACCATTAGCTGTATGTACCGGCGGCGCCGGCCCGGGGTGGCGACATCGCAGCTCGTCGGGGCGATCGTTAGCGAGGAAACTGGCGTTTGGCTCGCCACTGATCCGGGTAGACAGTTTGGTGCACCACTGATCCGGGTAGCCAGTTTGGCGCGCCACAGAGCGATAGCCAGTTTGGTGCGCCACTGAATTGGTGACCAGTTTGGTGCGCCAATTAACTGGTGACCAACCACCACCGGACGCCACTATTTGACGAAAGGAGGAAGTAAGGTGCACGAGTCACGACACCATTGCCTTCTGTCCCTGGGTCAAGAACACGTCACCATTTCATTCTCTCCCTGGGTCCAGAGCATGTCACCATTTCTTTCTTTCCTTCTGCTTCGACTCTCTGAAGATCCTCACATCGTTCCACCTGCCTGCGGCCTGCGGGCTGAGCAAAATGCTGACAAAATGAATTATTATGTATTTCAGACCCCATGAGACCGTTTTTCGGCGATAATTTCTTCAGTTTTTGTCTAATTGGCTTGAAATTTTGACATTAGACATTTCAGTTCAAGCGCCAATTTTCATCAATATGGTCTCTTAACAAAATATCAATATTTAGAGCACTTGTCATAGGCTCGTAATGCTAATAAGATTTTGCACCCGGATAGAGGCTCGTTCGCTACCGCAGCGGATTGGATGGGAGCGCTGGCCAATCACGTTGCGCCGGGCCCAACTAAACTCCGCCCACTGGCCGTGACCGCGCTGGGCTTATGCCGGCTCAGTCGGCGGCAGCACCGCGGGGAGGTCGCACGGGAGCCGCGCACTGGAAACATACATGGAATCGACAGGAAGTGTCTGAGCGAAAGCTTGCTCTTCATTTGGGGGAGTTGGTAACCGCTTCTCTCTTTTTGGTATATCAACACCGATCCAGCTCAGAATATGAAGAATAATCATAATGAGGATAGGTATCAACATTCAACCTCTCCAGAACCAACCTTAAATAGAGAGCTGAGTCATGCTCATGCACTATCTGAATATCTGAATGAATGCACATTCTGGCGCTTATGTCATGGTCAGGTCGTGCCACTGTTCTGTCACCTACTTATGACATGCGAAGCCTCTGCACTACTCGAAAATATCGATATGGTTGTCTGCGTCAATCGCTGTTTCTGAAGACGCTGTTATACCTATGCAGAAAACAACAGAGTAGGATGATGAGTCGCGAGCACTTCCGATTGCCTAAGACATCGCTCCACGAGCTGTGTTCGTAATTCGGGAAGCGTTGAGAAGGGAGCAGAAATGTGATGTGCGATTGGTGGCGCATGGTAGAAATGTGACATCAGAATAAGGGAAACAAGCGCATAGACTATAATAAAGAAATCGCGTCTTTTTGTGAAACTAAAGTAACTTTTCAATTCCTCCAATAATGAGGCAGTAGGCTACTTACTTACAGGTATTTTAATTATTTGCAGTTCAACACGAAAGCTTGGGGTCAAGTCAGTCCGGTGACCTCAATCTAGCCCTCGCCCTGGCAGGGGGGGGGGGTCGATGCGACCCCCCCCCCTAAGGTTTTTCGAAGATAGCGTAAAAACGGCGGCGCGCAGCGCCGCCAAATTTGGCACAGCCTATGGGGCAACCTTTTTACATATGACCTGAAAATTTCAGGTCCGGGTGACCTTGGGTCAGGTCACCAGGTCAGAAAAACCGGTACAAGGTCATGGTCAAATTTCAATTTTCTTCTTGCACCTGTCCAACTCACAGTTTTGCACTGATTTCCTTCAAACTTTCAGGATGTGCTAAGTTCACCGAGTTGTATAACATATAGTTCGGGTTTTTTGAGGTCACTGACCTGAGGTCAGTTAGAGGTCATTACGTCGTAATGTTAAGCCTATGAGAAAATACTAAATTCGGAAAATACTGGAGATATCCGCTTCGTTTTATCACTTTTGTGCTTTGAAACCACAGTACTTAACAGCAGGTCACTTGGTGTTTCTTTGTTTGGTGTACTTATCCATGGGTCAGGTCAAATGAGGTCAACTGAGGTCAAATGACGTTTTTGCCAATAACTTGGCACATAATGACGCTAGAGCTTCAAAAATGGTATCATTGTGTTCCTGGTGATCAGCCGAATCGAATGATATGTGATATGATACAATTTGGTCAACTTTAACTTAATTTATTAATTTAAGTTTACTTAAAATTTAAGAAAAACTTTAAGTACACTTAAGCAAGCTAAAAAGTATATCATTCGACGCGCCTTGACGTGCTGAGTTCACTGGTGCTTTTCTTTTTGCTCTATCTTAATTAGATCAAAAGTTATA